TTCTATAATTATAGCTTTATTTTTTTTATACACGTCTCTCAATAAACACAAAGTAACAGTAACATAACTGTTAGTTGATTCCACTCAACAATAAGTTGGGAAATTACAACTAACAGTTATGTTACTGTTGCTGTGTGTTTGCTGGGAATGTTGGGCTTACTATCAATATGTCACCTAACCTAACTCAAGAAGGAGGGCTCTCGACCCACACGTACGTTACGATGTACTTGTGAGCGTGCGATCCGCTCGAAGATTGTTCAGAGGATTGTTGAGCGTATCAAAAACGGCGGATCGTCCGTGATTGGTCGACGAGTTGATACGCCCGATACGCGCGTATCGCGATACGCGCCATGGGACGGCACCCTTACGACATCCAATGTAGACCCAGCCTAATCGCGTAAGGCGACGCCAGCGCTACAAGTGGCAAAATTTTGCACCAGTGTACCTGCGACTGGCAGCGAGAACCACAGATAATATAGCGAGAACGAATCTTCGAAAGGCGCGAGTGACCCATGAGTCCTACTAACGTATGTAAAATCCGTTTTAAAAAAGTTTTTTTATAAATATGTTTCTTAACTCGTAATATAAATGTTTTTAAATGTTTGAAGTCGATAAGTGCGAAAATGAGTCTAAGAAGTGCAGAAGGGGTTATGTTGTCGCTTCGTCATCGCCAACCTGTCGATTACTTCGGAGGGGAAGACTCAAATGAGGAAGATTCCGTTGAAGAGGAGAAGCACCACACGTCGGAAGAAGAGTGCAACGATTTCTGCGACAGCTACGACGATGAAGCTGACTCCGATGAAGAAGCCGAATCAGAGCAGCCTGCTGACGAGTCTACACTACCTGGCCGCAGGAGGACCTTTGTTCATGGGAAGAATGGTTACAAGTGGTCTACTAAACCTGCTAAAACTCGAGGACGACCTTCTACGCCGACACAACACTTACCAGGTCCCATCAAAGAGGCATTGAACGCCCGAAAGCCTATTGATGTATGGAGTTTACTTTTCACTGACGAAATGCTCGAGAATATTGTGCTCCACACTAATGAAGAAATTCAACGTCGCACTGACAATCTGGTACCGTGTACTTATAATGGAAAATTAGACTTGGTCGAATTGAAAGCTTTTATAGGTGTACTATATTTTGCGGGGGTTCGTAAACAAAATAAGGTGACTCTGGACGAAATGTGGTCTTTGGAATTCGGTAGCAATTTTTACATGAGTGTCATGTCAGCTAAACGTTTTGAATTCATCGGAAAAGTGTTGAGATTCAATGATAAAGAAACCCGCAATGAAAGAAAGGCAACTGACAGGCTAGCCCCGATAAGAGATTTGTGGGAGACTTTCATCTCCAAATGTCGCGATTATTATACTCCGTCGAACAATGTGACTATTGACGAACAATTGCTAGAGTTTCGCGGGAATTTTGGCGCGAGAGTGTATATCAAGAGTAAACCAGCTCGTTATGGTCTAAAAATCATTAGCATGAATGACGCTAAGACTCATTACATGTATAACGCCATTCCATATACTGGTCAAGTAACTTCTGATAGAAATGAACTATTACCCGAGTATTACGTTCGCGTTTTATGTGAGCCAATTTATCATACGAACCGTACCGTAACCTTCGATAATTGGTTTACCACCATCAGAATTTGTGCGAAAATGCGCTCCGAGTTCGGACTTAATACCATAGGGACAATCCGAAAAAATAAACCTCAAATTCCTCCATCATATGTAAGACCAGCGTCGATCGGACTTGCACGTTATGCATATAACAGGGACGAAAATATTACCCTCGTATCATTTTGCCCGAAAAAAAATAAAGTCGTTCTTCTCGTGTCAACTTTGCATAACAAAGGTGTAGCTGGCGAATCTGGTAAGCCAGAAATTATGGAATATTATAACAAGACCAAAGGCGGAGTGGGCACCTTCGATCAAATGATAACGTTGAAAAGTTGTGCCAGAAAAACAAACCGATGGCCGATGCGATTCTTCTTCGGCATGTTAGATCAGGCCGGCGTAAATTCCGCAATTTTGTACAATTTTCTTCAACACCACGATGGCTTAAGCAGGTCAGATTTCTTAAACGCACTGTGTATCGCTCTCGTTTGGCAGCACTTACAGCGCCGTGCTACCCTCTCGGCACTTCATAAACATGTGAAATCCAATATTTTGTGTATATTGGGTAAAAGGAATGAGCCTGTCGAAAATAGCGACAGAATGCCAAAAAGAAAAAGGTGTCACTTCTGCCCAACCAAAACAGACAGGAAAACGTTCTTCTGCTGTTATAAATGCAAAGAACCGGTTTGTGACGATCATCGACTTGCGTGCTGTCCAGAATGCTTGTAAAATTTCAAATGATGTAACATTATGTTATTAATTACCTATGTAATTTTATGTTAATTTCATATAAATGCCAATACTTGACAACTTACCTACAGAGTAATAAACTTTCAAGTAGGACCCTCGAAACTAAACAATATACATATGTGAACATGCCTAATGCGGGTCAACAGGGCAAGATGTAGGTAGCCCGACTTGTAGATCTTCAAATCTTTCTGAAAAATTGTGAATTTTTATACCGTTTCTTTCCACATTAGTACTAGCGCCGAATTGTTTTTCCGGACATAACGCAGTTTGTCTTTAAACGTGGAATAATTGTCGTCAGCAGATTCACGTATTCGATTTGATAATCATTATTTATTTCAAATGCAATTCGCATTTTTCTGATGCTACATTAGCAATCAGTATTCCCCCCTCTCCCCATTTTCCCGTCCTGTAAATTAATTTTGCAAAATATCGTAAAATTAAGGACGAGGAATTTATTTAGATAAAATGACGGGATATGTGTATATATGACTTTATATTGTATACAACTCCAAGATTCGTTATACGAAATAAGCTGCCAGTTGTGCCATTTTATCCTTGGGCGGTTTAGGTTTGCCTCGATTACGACTCTTGGCATGGCCGCGACCGCGTGTGACGACTGGCTTTGATGCCACCGCGCGATGCTTTTCTACTAACGCAGCGAAAGCTGGGGTACAAAACACACAGCCGGACATCTCGGTCACTTCGTTGGGCAGCTTGCTCTTGTCCTGAAATCAAATAGGATACGATCGACGTCGCGTACACGAGTACAATCGTACGACGACGAAAATTATATCTCTCCTCACCTGTTTGTATTCGACGGTTACTAATTGTGCGCCGCAATCACACGTATCTGTGTCGACCGTCACCTTATGCGCGTTTTCAAACAGATGGATAATAACGTCGCAACGATTACATCCCAATTTCCACTTGGGAGCGGCCGATGGGTCGAGCACAAGTATACCTAGATCGCATTCCAAACAACTGGACAAGCCGTTCGAGTTCATACCGTGCGGGCACGTCGGATGCGTGCACGAATTGCAACCGCTCAGTCCTTTCTTCATATCCCTAAAGTTGAAAGAACATTCAGCACACACTCCCACAGACTATTACTACGTACCCGGATGGTCATGTACGTACCTGAACGGTGGATTGTTATAACAGTATGGACAAAATGTGTAACTTTTCCCTCGTGTTCCGGTTGACCATGAGAGCAACTCAAAGTCGTCCAATGGACACTTTAACTCTTTGTATATTCGTATGTTTCCATTTTGTGGCAAATTGTAAGTTTCATTGCAATGTGCGCAATGCATTCTAGACGGCTTAGTTTGTATGTATTTCATATATCGACGGCACTTACCACATCTGTAACGCACGAGATAAGAAGAGTGACTAAACATGTAGGGCGTTTATACAAAAAAAAAAGAAAAGCGAAAGATCATTCATCATACCTAGAGTGTGCTTTGCCGGACGCCGATAGCGGAGAGAACGAAACTTCAAACAGCTGATCCATAGCTTCTATACTTTGTACGAAATAGTGGAATTTTTGTTTGAAAATCTCTACGGTATGTTGTAATACAGCATGAAAGTCAGCTCGACCTAATGCTATTAGGTTTAGTTGTTCTTCCACGGCAGTTCTCATTGTGGGCAAAACTAATTCAGGATCTATCTAATAAAAGGGTGATACATATGTGTATTTTGTCAAAGTTTAGCAAATTTTTTGCATCGTGTCGAGGAATCAAAACTAAAGATACCTTCTGATATCCATGGACCAAAACGATACCAAGAGAAGTAGGTATTAATTTTCTGCCCGCTGCGACAGTAACGTAATTTCTAATGCAGATATTATTTATATGCACAGGAATCGAAGCGTCTGTCCCGATACCATGTTTTTCCATGAGAGATATTAATTCTGCCTCTGTTAAATAATCCGGCGGTTGTGTGTAACATTCGACTAGTTTTGCCTGTAACAACAAAGACATTTTTACGTCATTGCGGACAGAAGAAATCGAGTAGGCAGGTAAATAGGTATTAAAACATCTTTTACCTCTTGTATATTTACTTTCTCGTCGGGTGTGAATTTCGGCAGAGTATCACTGCTGCCGAGTGTTTGCCAAGTAAGAATACTCGTGTATCCAGGACTCAACAGGCTGTGACCAGTTACTGTAAATATTTCCATGCCTACCTCAAACTTTACCGTAGTACTCAGATATCTACAATCCCGTGCCAGCTATTCGAAATGGAGAAAGTAGAGAAAATATATATTAGTAGTGAACCCATATACAGCACACAAATGTTGAATCAACATCTCAGAAACGTTCCATTACAACATTGCAATATTACATCAATGTTACGAAATGTAGATTCAACGTTGAAAAGATATTACAAAAACATCTAATGTCCGCTGAATTGTAATGTCTTGTAAACGTTACAATTCAACATTCAGAAAACATTGTTAAATTATATTGAGTTAGCATTGGTCGCGTTTAGTAGAATATTTTTACAACTGTTGGAAGTGCTGAAATTAAATTATTCCACTAAAATAACAATCCAATCTTAGCTCAGAAAATGTCTGACCCTTGCAAAAACATTATATATATATACACATTTCATAATTATACATTTTTTAAGTATCTATTTGAGTGTCAATAAAATAATAATTTATTCAAGATTATTTTAACGTTTCAGCAACATTATTTTAACTTTCTGTGCTGTATGGAGAAGCCTCGAAATCTTACCAACATCTCAATATGGAACATACCGTAGCGATAAAATGTCGCGTTATATAATCGTACAATCTCCACGAGTCACCATCGAGTTCGTTTCGAGTTGCATGTTTCATGGGTGTTATAGGCGGATGATCGCCTGCATCGTGGCCTTTCTTTGGTCTATTAATTCCAGCCGTTATTATCTTGCGAACTTCCTCGCCCCATTCCGGGCTATTCTGCTGTTGTTTCAGTGTTGAACTTGAATAAAACAAAACGATCGTGATACATGTACATGTGAGCTATGAAACTGTTAGGTAATTAATTAGGAATTAGATAACAATCTCACAGGAGATCAAAATTTTCAGGATACGACGTAGTCTCCGTTCGAGGATAACTTATGTATCCTTGAGTATAAAGTCTCTCCGCAATTTGCATAGCGTGTTGTGGACCCATTCCCAATCCAGAACTCCCGACTCGCATCAATTCCACCGTGTTTAGCGCTATAGGCCGCGACTTGGACTTTTCCGTGCTTTGTACACTCACTACGCTATACACAAATTTAGTTTGAACGATGTAGTCTCTCCGTACTACGCACCAATTGTGCGAGATTCGTAAATACGCAAGACACAACTCACGTGGCTTGATCGTGTTCCTTAACGTGGCTTAGAAACATGGTTGCGACTTCCTTGTCGAAAGAACGTACACGATTCCAACTTAATACAATATCTTGGCCATCGGACGACTTGACAGTTACCTAGAAATAATGAGACGTACATATTATTTATCTCAAATCAAACCGATTAAAAAGCACAACATATAGTCACACACTTGCAACACCCAATATGGATCTGGCTTAAAAGTCTGAATTTCGTCGTGTCTCTGTACACAGAAGCCCAACGTCGGCGTTTGGCACGGACCGTAAGAAATAAGAGATACATCTAAGTCTCCATATTTGCCCTAAAAATATCATAACAGACACATTCATATTGTCCTGGTCTAATTTCACAAATTAATCAATTTCAAACACAACAACGTAAAGAGAGTGGCATACTTGGAAGAATTTTGTTTGATATCTTGTAAATGCACAGCCTATTCGCAGATCTAACTCCTGACGCGCATCAACGCTCTTGGCCTCGTTTTCATTGGGCTTTATCAGATTATTCAAAGCAGATTTTATATCTTTCTCCGTAATGGCAGAGAATCGCGCGCGCCATATATCCTATCGAATAGAAAACTGTTTAATAAAACCAAGTTTAAATCAATCCATAAAACCATCCTATCAAGTGACTCAGTCTTCTATGGTGTACAATGTGCGAGCTTACATTTACAAGTAACTTTCTATGCATTCCTTGCTGCACTGCGTTTATCACTTCGAAGCAAATATTTTCACCTTCCTTATCGCAATCAAGCCATAATACTAAATAATCACAATGCGCTCCTTCTTTGGCCAAAAAGTATGGAATTTTTAGCTTCGGCACCGCTTCTTTTTTCTCCGTCGAACAGGAGAACAATTCTGCCTGAGGTAGAAAAAGCAATCTAGTTATTGCTGTACAGAGTAAAGCTGGTGGCAGAGAACGATCCGTAAACGCTTAAGACTGGCTCAGTCGTAGACGTAGGGCAAGGCAGAGAGAAACGTAAGTCGTGAAAGGTTTTTGTAAACGACTTACGTTTCTCTCTGTCCTTGCCCTACGTCTACGACTGAGACAGTCTTAAGCGTTTACGAATTGTTCTCTGCCATCAGCCTAAGGAGTAAAAAAAACAAAAGACTGTAATTTGATCTTACCGGATCTACTTTGTCCCAGTTGTTGTATTTTCCAATAAAATCCAGCGTCATGACGTGTCCACATACAGAGGTCATTTTAAAATTTACAGTCTCGGTCTTGAATTGACCTACCCATTCGTGGACGGAACAAGAGCCGTTCAGTCCTGGAGAGAGAGATAAGGGAAAGTAGGTTCAGTTTCCAGGCAATTGTAATTGTCAACGCACCTTTCCTGGTACTACATCGTCCATTGCTCAATATACTGGCCAGAGATGCCGCCAAAGAAGGCTTCTCGGCCACCATCAACGCGGTTTTCATTTTGACGCGGTGTCTTCTTCACACGCCGTTGCAATTGACTTGGATAACTTGACTCAGCTTCGCTGAAATGTACAACGCGGTTTAAACATCACGTTTAACGTTACACGCCGGACTTGGGCTCGGCGCCGTTTCGATTCGAGCTATTTGCGAGTTGCCGACAGAATGTCCCAAAGTCGAAGTTCTAACCCGCTAGACGGCTCATCGGAGTCGGATTCCGACTTTTCGACTGAGAAATCACTTTGCTCCGGCCCAATCTCGAACCAATCTCAATTCCAAACTCCAACCGCGACTGACGACAACTCGCAGGAGTCACAGGCCCATCAGCCCATGGTGTGATGAAGCCCTCATGCGCGATTTTCCTGACGCATGCGCAGCCCCAACTTATAATTCAAGAGAAGCGTCTCACGAAAATGTTGGCCGTTTTATCATAATACAACGGGATATACCTTGTGTTATGATAAATATATTGAAAAGGTCCAGGTTCAAACCCTGGCCGAGGTGATATTCTTTTCGCAATAAACTTAGAATAGAATATTTAGACACTGCCACCCCGTCGCGGCTCCGAGTCCTTTGAATTCTTTGAAATTTGTGTTTAACACATACGAGCCATACTAATTTATTTATATTAGTTGCTTTCCTTTTACATGAAAACTCAGACATATCTCACCTGTGACGTCATAACTCAGTTGAATGCGTGTTCCTTTTGATTCTTGAGAAGTGAGATTCAACCAGATTTAACTGAGTTTTTGCTCTTTTTGCGCACGATCAAGACCGTGTGCTTTTAGTGAGTTTAATAGACTCACATTAATGGCGTCATATCTGAGTATAAAATACATAACTGAGTGACTCAGGATGTGTTCGAAAATGGATTTAGTTACTGCCAGTGAAAACAGTATAGTTGGTAGCAATGAAAATTACTGGTGCTGCGTTTTTCGCACGCCAGTAAAGTCAGTAAGGCTGGGTCTACATTGGATGTCGTAAGTCGAATAATGAACTGTGATTGGTCAATTTCCCAGCC